CTCTTTTAGGTGCATTAGGTTTATTTATTTATTTTTGTACATGCTGTCATAGTATGGTTATATGACAGTAAAATGGTTTTAAACCAATAGTAATGTACTTTGTTTATTTATGTTTGAAGTGCCTAATGAAAATATACAGTTTAAGTTAATTATAAGGATTTTTAATACATTAATTAATGAATAATTTATTAGTACTTGTATCGGTACTTTAATGTAAGTACTCGGTTTTCAAAAATCTGGTATCGGTGCATCCCTAGTATTAATCTAACCACAGAAAAAGTGAAATATCATTAATAAATTGTTTTGTTTGCTGACAGCAATATCTGCAGAAATCTGTCAAAAAAAACATTATTCAGGATGTTATCCTATAAATTATTAATTTCAAAACGCTGTATAAGATTATTTTGTTACTCAAATATACAAAATACGTAATATTTCATTTGGCAGTTTGTTTTAGCACAAAATATTTTGTTAGCATATTTATTTATTAGCAAACAGAAAACTGAAAGGTCTTAATACTGACTCCAGGACGTGCACTTCTTGTTTTAATTTAAATATTTTTACCTATTTGATGTTTTTWAATTAGTTTTAAGATGTGAAACTATGTGTTGTTGCTGCTGCCAGTCTTGGCCAGGTCTGTCTGAAAAAGAGGTTTTTAATCTTAACTTCCTGGTTAAATAAAGGTTATAAATCATTTATTAGCAAACAGTTTAAACTTGTCATCAAGCTTGTAGCAATAAATAAAACTATTCTCTAWCATCTTTAATTAAAGTCAGTTTGTAATCAAGACCGTAACAAGTTATCAATCTCGCCCATCTGTTAGCTGCTGCAGTGTGCAACAATGCTAGCTTCGATGCTAATGCTTCGATGCTAAGCTAACCGGCTTCTAAAGCCGGTTTTCCTCTCATTCCAAGAGAAGCTTTCGACTTTAAAACAGAAAATATCCACCAACCTCTTCCTCCTCGTGGTACGACATACCGTCAGGCGTTTATCCAAGCCCGGGACACTGCGGAGTAAAAGGTAAAAACCTGCGTCTAACAAGCTAACGCCGCTAAACCACGCAGCGCTGCTGGAAGAGACCGGAAACAGAAAGTTGTGACGTAAGAAGACWCTGCCGGTATGAAGCATTCTGGGAAATGGAGTGTCTGTCATGTGTTTTAGTGCAGAGCTAAAATGAGCTCAAACTAGTGTCATATTCAGTGTTGTATAAAGTACCTCAAAGTGATACTTGAGAAAAAGTGCAAGTATCTTATCATAAAA